AGACAAGGTTTTAGATCGAAATTCTGTCATTTGAATTTTGGGGAACTACCTACAAATGAATTAAAAATCTAGTAAATCAATCATAACTCGACGCCAAAAGTCCATGGGGACAAACCATTTTAAGCTTTTTATATTCTTACTAAGACTTACCTATATGTCCAAAATAAGCTCAAACGGTGGACATCACTTGGGGTAGCTCTCTGGTGAGTGACAGAATCCAAGATTTGAAATTTAGCAATTAATTGATGAGTAAATGAGTCTTTTTCTCTTTTATAGAAATATCATATATTCATCTCGGAGAAACCTTCTAGATATGCTATTCCTTTCTGAAGATTTGTAAAAATCTGAGTACAAAAAGAAAACTGAATGCTTTTGCAAGTCATTTCCATTAACCGATTGATAATGATTCAACAACCCATTCGAACCGAACCACTTCAAAACCTCTCGACCAGTTACAACTCTGATGGAACATCATCGATATTATTTTCTGTCTGAGAAAAAAGGATTCATTCTTCCAAGAGATAATTTTTAGGATAGAAAACATTGACCTTTTTTTTTATGAATTCCTTAGTATTTTTTTTTTCTTATTAATAGAAGCAAAATTTATTGGTTTTTCAATGTATACAACATGTGTTATATGGTTAGCATTTGCTGCCGTGTATTTTGCTATTGATGTTAAAGTTTTTTCATTATGTGTTGCAACTAATGCAAGTGCTTATGTTGTACTAATATTTCTTTTTTTCCCAAAACTTTATTTAATTATATTTAAACCAGAAAAAAATCAACGAAGGTAAAATTTTATATTAATTGAACTTTTTTTGTTTTGATTCGTAAAGAAATCCTATTGTTTTATTTTAGTGCATTTGCAACAAATAAAGATATTCGTTGTCATTTTGGTTCATCAACAACATCAAAAAGTGACATGTCATCTTATCGTTATAGTGAAGCTTCATCATTATTTCGTAAATCAGTATTACATCGTATTCGTTTTGGTAATACATTACGATTAAAAGCTGAATTTCCTAATTCAGCTGCATCATCATTACGTACAAATGATTTTCCTGGTAGTGATCGTCGTCCATCACGTTCTCTATCAGCTTATCCAGATCAATGGACGCATCATCATCATCATCATCGTCGTTTGTCAAATACACCACAATTACCAATAGCAACAGCTAGTGCTGACGATTTATCTTATCGTACAAGTATATTAACTCAGAAAACATTAGATACTATACCAGGAACATTAGTAATAGATTTACCTCTTATTGCTCCACCGCCAACACCGACACCAATGTTATCATCATCTTCGTTAGCAACTTCAGCTATTATTACTGAGCTAGAAAATAATGACAAATCATCGATCATTCCACAACAACAACAGTCAGTAACACATTTACCAGATTGTATTTATGCAACAAACCAATCGAACAATGTGAATTCTATTGGATCTAATGATTGTATTCGACAACGAGGTAAAAGTCAACGTAAGAAGAATCGTATAGATTCAAATAATGATTTAACATTTTCAATGAAAACAAATGATATTGAAAGTGAATCATCAAGTGCATGGACAAATGAAGGTATAGGAATACATCCTATTCCAACATCGATAACAAATCCTGAATCTGTTTGTGCATGTCAATTATTATGGCAATTAGAAAGAGAAACCGATAGTATTGATAAATTTAAATTATTTTTTAAACGTGACCATTTAAATGTCGATTGGGATTATGTACAAGGTTCGAGTGAAGTTTAAATGAAGCAGATATTTATTGTGTGCGAACTTATTTTTGTTCCGCCATGTATTTAGAAAGCATAAAGACTTATATGTATATACATATCATACATACATTTTCTTTTTGCGTTCAAATGTATCCAATGTTTATTTTAAGTTATTCATTCATAGGAAAACATAGTTTAATTTAAGATTAAAAATCTTCTATTATCTGTGTGTATTTTAATTATAATAGAAGTCGACTATCATTCCTTAGTAAAATAGTATCTTTATTTTAAACATGATTAGATATTTCAAGAACAAACCATGTCTATACAGTCCATCTGATCTTTAGCCATACCTATTTTCATTATATAATTATTTCTTTTCATTAACTTTGTCTATAAATTCAATAATAATCTATTATTGTATACTTTCAAACTTTGAATATTTGAACATTTTGATAATTAACAGAATAAAAAAAAAAACCTATCGTTTGACGTCTTATTATTTTATATTTTTAATCGCAAAAAAAAAGTGTCGTTAAGCGTTTTTTGCGCGGATAGTTTACATAATAAACAAAAGAAATTGTGAATTACAGGCAAGTACATTGTTTAACAATTACATCTTTAATAGGATAAATTTCAATACTACCATCCATTTGTCGAAGAAGAAAATTATCGTCAGCAAATTGTGATGGTACACAAGTTGGTTGTGGAATATTGGGTTTTTTTCTTTTAATAATAGATTGAAAAAGTGCATGCATTGATGTTTGTGATTGTTGTTGTAATGTTAAATAAGAACATGAACCATCACAATATGTAAATTTATATTCTTTTGGTCGAATAATTAAATAAGCTAAACCAAGATCTTCAAATTTAATTTGAATTGTTTTCATTTTACACATTGATAATAATGAATTAGTTTGTGTTTGTTTTAATTGTTGAAGATCAAATGAAAATATTGAATTTAATTTTAATGTTTGATTTGATTTTATACGAATATTTGTCGATGATATTATCATATATGTATGTGATGTTTGACATGTTTCATTATTTATTATTGTTTCAATAATTAAACTTTGATTATTTATTTGTAATATATATTGATATATATTAATGAAATAAAAATCTCGATTAAGATCAAATTGTAAATATGTATCTATTGTAAAAAATTCTATTAATGTTTGGGAATGTTTAAATTTTATATATAATGGAATTGATAATGTTTTTGTTTCAATTGAATCAATATGATAGATAAGTTCAATAGAAGCTAAAAATTCTATTGAATGAGACCAAATAAATGTTGAATGAACTTGATTATTAATCATGAAACAATTACTTGATTGTAAAGTAAACATTGGACTATATGATGGTGTATCATCGCTTAAACGTTTTCTTCTTGTATTTTTAACTATATAATTAGAAGATTAATTAAAAAGCAAAAACAAAAATCTTTTTTTTTCTTTTACTTTGTATAGATCTACTGACTATATGATGATTATAAGTCATTGAACGAACAAGAGATGTATGTGATATATTAAGTAAATCAATAAAATATTGTCTTAGAATAAAATTACGATATGAACTATTAGACATGAGTTCAAATTGATTAGAAGAAGAAGATAACGATGATAAATAATTGAATGTTGAAATTGAAGCACAATGAGATGAATAAAACAAATAAATGATAATAATAAAACAAAGACAAGAAATTTTAAAAGAAAGCTTGAATATAAAATTTTGTAGAATATTAATTAAATTTAATAATAATTCGGTAAACATTACAATAATGCATACATCCGATAAAAACAACTGCTATGATGCTGTTGTTGATTAAATTTTGTTAAAATAATCAAATATATATTCATTATCACGAAAAAGATGATAAATGAATAACTAGGAATTTTGATTATAATCAAAATTCTTTCAAAGAATTGCTTTGACCAGATAATATGAATTGAACTAAATATAAACAAAAAAAAAACGTATACAAATATACATAGACATTAAAAGAAATGATGATATCACTACTGACAACAATGAAATATAAACAAATTCAAAACGCAATGTATTGTTTATTTCTGTGAGAAACAACATGCAATATCATATAAAGAATCTTTCACGACAAAGATGTCCGATATTATTTTGCTTATCGGATATTGGACTATGTACATTTCTTCTATGTGCAGTTATTTAAAGAGGTAACATGGAATGAGGCATTGGTTTTTTTTCATTATTCTTTTTTTTTTCTTTTTGATGCATTCTTTCTTTACTCAGTCTTGTACAACCAACATTCTAGCTACAATAAGCATGGACTCATCTAGTGCAATTGAGTTGTTACTTAAGAATTGACCATATATCAAAACGATGAAGATATCAGCGTAGGAAAAAAAATTTACTATGATACTCTTTTGAATTTTCATTTCAACTCAATCGATCATTTCATATGTTGATCTTGTTGAACTATGGTATGTACTCAATCAATAATGTACATTACTGTTACCGTCATTGATAATTCACATATATATCTCTTTCGACTTAAGCTAAAAACATCAATTGGTTCTATTTTGTTGAATATATTTAAAAAAAAAAAAGAAAAGAAAAGTGATTCTATAGAATGTATTTACCTAATAAATTTTTTCTTTGTTCTACAACCGTTTTTGAGCCAAAAGCGTGGTGTTTATCGATCAGATGAAGAAAAAAAGTGAAAGCTTTGTTTTTGATATTCAACGAATAATTCTGTTACAGAATAACATGTATAAGATAGAGAATGGTAGAAGTGTACGTGCCAAGAGAAAAGAAAAGGCAAAAAAAGAAAGAAATGAAAAATTAAGACTAGCACGAATTTGTAAGTGCAGATGATGATATTTAGTTTTATGCGTGCTGTCATTTATTATCTTTCTTTTTCTTGTACAATGGATAAGAACCCTGGTCAATGTTATTCTTTCTGTTTGTTTCAGAACACAAGAAAATGATATCAGAAAAATGCTGTTATACATTTTTTTTTCGTTTTGTTTTATGCCTTTTTTCTTTCTTCTAATACCATTCGTATAATATTATCAAGGGTATAAAAGAACAACTAAATCATCATTTATAAAATAATTGTTAACAAAAACTATATTTTAAGAGTACGTGGGTATTTAATATGATGTATAAGTCCAAACAAACAATAACAATTACGAGAAAAGTACTAAGTCATATGTTATGTAGAAAAAAAAAAAGAATATTGTACGTTCATTATTATTGTATTTTATATTTATTTTTCCAGAAGAAAAAGACTATTAAGTAGCTAGAATAAAATGTGGTGATGTTCGTTGATTAAAATTTTCATTATATTGTCTATTCAATGATGTTTTATTTGATACTGTTGATTTAAATAATCGTCGAATACTAAAAACTTGAATTATTGAACACACAATCATTGTTATTATTTGGCATAAAGCCCAATTTTGTACATAACTTGCATTAGCTTGAACTATATATAAATCATGTGTATGATGAATTCGTCCTACTGTTTGATAAGCAGTAAGACGATAAAGTGTACTTGAAATATTACGAAGTAATTGCTAATGAGGAAAAAATAAAAAAAAATGAAAAATAAAGTAAAGGACGAAAATTTAAGGCAGCATCGTTTATTCTATGAATTATTTTGTTCAAAATTATTTATTGAAACCATTCAAATAGGGATTTCTGTAATTCTCGAGATGAACTATAAAGCCAACATGTGAGTGTTTTCAATGGTTTATTGTTATGAGATTTTTCATACTAATAGTTTTACTTCAGCGGATAAAAGTTTCAAGTATATTTAACGTCTCATTAAATTTTTCACTGTTAAATAATTATTTTCAAACTCTTCTAAATATCATTCGATGAAGAATTTATTGAGCTACATTCTGATAAAAAATATTTTTTGAAAATCACTAATTTTAATATTAGTAATTTAATATAAATCTGATATATGTTACACTACCAACGACAAAAAAATGTGTAGGAGTCGTACTTTTGATAGATACTTCTATGGATAGTCAAACAAAAAAAAATACAAGTCTCTCAGAAGAGGTTTTTTCGTTTGTAGGACATGTTGCGTTGATCATGTTGACAAAAAAAAATATTCATATTTACTTAGTAAATAATAATCCTAGGGTCAAAATATTCGAAAAAGTCAACCACTGCTCCGCAACAGTCAGGATTAGTCGAAGTTTTCGACTATTTCGTTTCTAACATCATGATCTATTGAGTAAATTTGAATATTTTTTTGCCAAAGTGATAAACGCAATAAGCCCTACAAACGAAAAACTCTTCTGAGAACCTTGTATTTGTCTATCCATGGAAGTATCCATCAAAAATATGATTCCCAAGTATTTTTTGTCGTTGATAGTGTGATATACATTATTATACTGATTACAATCATACTAAGACGAATCATTTTAACAGAAGTTTGATACTATTTTGTTTAGTTTTTAATGCTCTTTCTATTGATGTACTTATAAACTGGAAATAAAAATAGAATTTTTGCTTATTTTAATAATTAATATTAATTAAGTGTAGTTATTAAAATTAGTGATTTTCAAAAAATATTTTTTATCAAAAATGTAGCTCAATAAATTCTTCATCGAATGATATTTAGAAGAGTTTGAAAATAATTATTTAACAGTGAAAAATTAACGAGACATTAAATGTACCTTAAACTTTTATCCACTGAAGTAACTCTATTAATATAAAAAAAAACTTATTACAATAAGCCTTTGAAAACATTCTCATATCAGGTCTATTGTTTCTTCTGAGAACTACAGAAATTCCTATTTGAATGGTTTCAATAAATAATTTTGAACAAAATAATCCACAAAATAAAAGATGCCTTAATTTTTTGTTCCTCAATTTATAATAATATCAAATCAAATAAATTTTCATAAATTCCTAATAACATTTCATCAAATTAAAAGTACAAGTTAATTGAAATTGATATGATATTCTAAGTATCAATGTCAAATATTTAATAGAAAAAAAAATCAATCTTTGATCAATCAGAATTTTTATCGATTAACTTTTCTCCTGATTCATTGTATTAATCTTCAAGTAATTAATGAAAAAAAACCGAGCAGACTGTCGAAATGATCGTTTTGTTAGTGTGAAAGACAAGAAAAAAAAATGAATCTATCCATTTACCATAGCATTCGTAGAAAAGTCTTCTATAACAGCAGTTTCATTAGCTTTCTTCTCATTGTTTGCGTTTATAGTTGCTTCCAGAATACGATCTTTATGAATTGCAAGTACACCTATATAAATAAGTTTTTTTGTGAAATATTGATCATTCTTGAAACATATTCGATAAGTTCCTTAAAGGATAAAATAAAATGTAATACATATTTATGAAAAGAAAATACAAACAGTTCCCTAATAAGATTTATTTTTACCTGCAAATTTTGTATATTCTTCATCATACCAACCAAATTGGCTATTAACTTGATTATATGCTAAACGACCTAATGAATCAGTTATTGTGACTCGTACAAGAGAATCACCACCTTTAAGTACTTGATAGATGACATGAACTGTATCGTCTAATTTTGTTTCAAGAAAAAAACATTCATCGAATGTATGTGATAAGGCAATACGAAACGTATTCCAATGATCTAAAAGATGTTAGATAAGTTATTGAATAAATAAAATTCAAAAATATCTTACCTAAACTTTGTAAATTAGCTAAAGCACTCTCTTCGATATTTGCGTATATGGAAGAAATAAATATAATCAATACGAGAAGCGTCTTCATATTCCAATCTTCTTTTTTTCATTAATAAAATCTTTTTTTTTTTGCCATTACACTCGTTGGTACTTCTGAGAATATGACCATATGTCAACATAACAGTGATAAGAACCACCATAATGGTCTAATATATCACCACAATAGAACCTTTAAATTCTATGACAAATTATTTTTAAAAGATCAATGAGAACTAGTGAATTTTTTTAAAAATGTTTTTGATTATCTTTTATGAACGGTTATGTTGAGGATGTAAAATTTATTCTATAACCAAAAATTTATCGAACACGAAAATAATAGATTATTTCATTTATGTATTTTACGCCAAGAGTGTCATATGAGCCATTATTAAAATTAATCTTCTTCGACTCTAAATCAAATAAGTTTTTTAAATAAAATAAAATAATTACAGAGAACATTATACTCTAATTTGATATATTATCCAATCTAAACTATCAATCGGATTGTATTGAATATATGTGTAATTTCGATAGAACGTTTCAAAAGTTATCAAGATACTGCATTCTATTATCGAATCTAGCGGATATTTCTATAACTTCCAACAAGTTCTCTTCGAATGTTGCCAAATTATTTTAGAATCTTGTAATCAAACTTCTTGGCCTAGATTATTCATGACTAATCTTCTTTCTAAGTACATAAAAGACTGAATCTTTTGAAGTAACTTAGGATTGATAAAAAAATTTTGACACCATGAAATAAAAATATAAAAATAAAGAGATAGTTTTAATTTTGATTTATTAAATGTTCAAAATAGTCGTCATAGCTATTTATACATAGTGTCACTGATTATCCTGAAAACTACACGAGCCAATGATTTTTCATTTGTTTTGCTAGTTAGTATAACCTTGATATAATCATTTAACTAAAACTCAAGTGGTGTAAGGTCTGATAAAAACGGTGATTGTGGGTTTGTATTGATACCTTCTTATGTTAAATCATTAATGACATCTGGATGATTATGAGGTCGAACATTATCCTGAAGTGATTTTATATCTTTTCGCACCTGATGACTTTCTTTGTTTTCATATTACATTATCAGCGAACTTGCGGTAATTTTTAATATAATAGTTAGGAATATACTAACTTCATTACTTAGAATTAACCGAAATTTATTGAAATTGAAATTGGCATTGATCTTGAAAAATTTGGGATCGACTTATTAATTTATGTGAATAATATATACAAAATTAGTAATTCTACAACAACCGATTCTAACCAATTCTAAATCAAGAATTGGAATTCGTGCATCCCTAGATATTGTCCTTTGTTGAACTTGCTTTTTTTTTTGAAAAATTGATATCTGATAATGTATTCAAGGCTAGAAACGCAGCTGAATCAACATTAAAAGAAACAATCTTAAAAATAAAAAAAAGTCACATTGCACCCGTATATATTTAGAGTTCTTTGTAGAATATTTAATATAAAGACTATATCATCTTGAAAAAACAATTCAAAATGTCTAGGCCGATGCTTAGATTGTCTTTACTCAAGTCAAAGCTGCAGCTCTGTTTTGTTTCGAGTATTTCATACTTTTATTTGTTTTGGAAGTAATGACTGATGTTCTTTTTAAATCAGTAACTTTTAGTCACCCGAGAGCTATTTTTATTAATTTGTCAATTTTCCAGACTTGAAATATATTTCACGATAATTTTTAATTCATTTATTTTACGTCAAGTATGAGATTTACAAAGTGTTGATGAGATATCATACAGACACGACTGGATCAATCGAGAGACCAAAGACGGTGTTTCTCAAGTCTTAACTCTATAACTTATTAAATTAGCAGAACAATGACTTTAATTATCAAAACAACAGACTTCGAGAGTTCTATGAAATTTGTCGAATATCATTAAATGTTTTATTTCTGATCAACAATTAAGACAGTCACCAATAAACTATTTATAATCAATGAAAAAATTGCTTTTGTTTGAGTATTTTTCTTAAGACTCTCGGGCTCAGCAGAAGAGAGACAACTCTATATATTCGTTGTGACTGTATACTTAACTTTTCGACAGACTTTGCGTTCACCTGGACGCTGCCAATAGGATCTCTTAACATCGTAAAGACGAAACACTCTTTGGATATTAGTATATTTGTTTTCTTTATATGTTCATACTCACACCCATATTTATGTTTTTCCAGAAACATGTTTTCATACCATTGATGTAGTTCAAGAGATATTATAAAACGAAAATTTTCTTAAAATGAAGTATTCCGGCTTAAAGAGAAACTGTAAAAATGGCGCTATCTTACTCATCGATATCGATGGTGCACTTATTATGAAAGATCTAATGCGACTTTGTTTTCATTTTCAATAAACAAGTAATAAGCAATTGGAATTTCTGTAAAGCATAAAAGAATCCACATAGTAGATTTAAAGAAAACATAGTCTGCAAGATGGAAAAACACATTATTTTGATAATTAATGAAATCCATTATACTTTGTTAAAATTAAAAATAATGAAAAATAAAAATTTTGGAAAATGTCAGCAGGTTAATCTGTTTTATTTTTAACCCTTTGAGGCCCAGTGGGATATATATTTCCCACCTCGAGAATTTTCAAATCTTCGAGTTTCTGAGAATCTTGGAGGAATATTTTCAACAAATGTTGGAGGCTGGCAGAGATCCACGCAACACTACATGGATGATACAATATGTGAAGAACATTAAAAAGTCTATTACACCACGTTTCTTTAGTACAAAGATGGAAGTATAAAACAAATTCCCTGTCCATTGGCTATAGTTCAGTACAACAAGTATATTGAAGGAGTCGATTTGTCTGATCAGAAAATAAAATGCTATGCAATAGATCGAAAGTCAAAGAGAAGCTGGATAAGAATATTTTTGCATTTTCTAAATATGTCATTAGTAACGGCTTTTCTGTATTCAGTATTTCACGCTACATCTGAAACAAACAGTTTTGAAATTTGAAGAACACAAAAAAATTGACTTACTCTTCATAAAAAGTAGATCGTCATAAAAGTCTGATTCCAAAAAAATGAAAATACTTATATTCTTAATCAGCTCATCAAGCTCTATTTAGCCACATATAAAAAAAAAGAGAAAAAAAAGTTCTGCTTTAATTTTGCATTTCCAGCATCTTAGCTTATGTTATTATAATCAATTGATTTTGATTTTGTTTTTCATTCGTAGCAAAAAGCGAGAGTCCCAATAATAATTCTTGAGTCATTGTTTACTTATTGAGAAATCGATCACATACTTCTTTAGTGAAGGGTTTGGAGGTAGATAGAAGTTAATAGACGACTCACATCCTTACTCCATGCTTCACCATTAATATATTTAAAAAGATAACAGCCGAGAGTGAGAGGCATTTCCATACGAGAGATCATTGCTAAAGGACATCCTTTTTGTGGAAACAATTATGCGTGGATAATTATTTATAAGGACGACCAGTCGGGGATATTTTTGAACACACATTTTTCAAGGGAGAGTTAGGATTCCATGCTTTCAACTAATCCGATCAAAAATATTATATTTTTAGAATATATGATATGAAAAAAAAATCCGAAATTTTGAAGAAAATCTAGTAGATTCAGAATAAATAAATTTCGATAGATCTTTTACACAACAAGTTTTGATGCAAAACAAGCGTCTTGTTTTTATCGATAGGTGATTTATTCTTTCGGCGTACATTATTTTTTTTTTCGTTGATTACAGTCTAACATGGTTAGATAATGAGGTAAATGATCATTCGATCTATCAAGAAAAATACAAATTGTATCAATCGAAAGCACAAGGGTAATACCTTTTCAGAGAAGGTATGAGAAAAAAACATTGTGCAATGATGCAGAACGTTTTTATATCATGCATATGAGATATTGATGATATCAAATGACAAAAACATATTGACCTATTTTTTATTTTTAACCTTCACTTGATATATTCTGAACGCCATTCCTTTTGATTTTATGAAAAGAAATGCTGTAAACAAGTCTATGAGGACAGATAAGTTTCCTTTTGAATAAGTGACTTTCGAGACTGAAAATAGACAAGATTTTCAAAATATTGTACTTTAATGAATAACAAATATCACAAAATAAAACATGATCGGCAGCACTTCTATCGTAGTCTCTAGAATTCTCACTGCACATCTTTCAATATTTCTGAATGAAGGTCAATGTAAATCTTTCTAAAATCGCATAATCAATTCAAAGTATAGCTGCTTTCTGGTGATGAACCATTCCTAATCAAAGGATCATACAAAATCACATAACTGCAAAACATAGACACAATCTACATAATGTTGAGGAAAAGAACACTGCATTGTAGATTATGACTTTCCACAAAATTGTATTTCATCCTCAAAGGAAAAAACCATGCCCATCGCAAAAATGGAAGGTTGACAAAGCCTCAAAGACCATAAAAAAAATAATTAAAATTACAATTGTTGTGACGCAAATTTCGTTAATTCTTTTGCTGAAAGGACAATAATATAATAGAAATAAAATGATCAGTAGTGAAGTTTTAAATTCCATCAATCTATTTATTTTTATTAAACATTTATTTTTATTTTCATAGCACTAATATTTTAGAGTTAATTAATTAAAATACATCCATAGCAGCAAAAACAATGAGCATTGTTTTGTAATACTTCCAGTATTACGCTTTGTCATTGTTGATGCTGATATTATTTTGGAAATGTTTTTTTTGTATGTCCATCGAACAAATTCAGTGATTCGAATATAATTTGATCATCTTCATAATTTAATTGAGCGATGTATTCATTGATATTGATGTCGATTATCAAGACAATGCCAAGTAATGGATCCAATCAACGCTGATGTAGTCTCCCCGGGACAAAAATAAATTTCTTTTTCAATTGTGTCTTTTTTCCTTCTTCTTGTATTATTGTATATAAATTTGTATGTTGAATATTATGAATGGAATATTCCGATCAATTTCTTTTCAGTACTGATTCATGTTACAAATATAAAACTGGATGGCATTCGTAATAATGGTCGGAAAAGTATTATTAAAGCATAAACGGTGCAAGAGTAAATATTGCTTTGTTGTTGTTTACAGTTTAACTTTCGTCTTCTTACTATACATTTCGTTTTGATCACCATCATTGCAGATACTTTGACTACATCTAAATATGAAATTAAAGTATGATATAAGTAAACAGATAATTTAAAGAAGCTAAAATGGATATTTCATTGGAATTAGGTCTTGACAAACTATATGACTACAGCTGGCTCACATTTATGAAAAGATTTGTTGTTGACTAATTACCTAATCATACTGATAAATATGCATGATGTGAATTGCCCAACGCTGATGTAATTTTTCGGGATATTTGCTATTGTTTATCACCTATTCAAGCTAGAAAAAATAGATGTCCTATTTAAATATAGGTGAAAGAGAGACAAAATGATTTTTTATCGTTATTGAAAAATTTACATTACCGCTCATGAAACTTATATAAGAAGTTCAAACTAAGAACAATCAAGAAGATAACTCTTGAGTAAGAGTAGCAAAGTTTATGGTCAAAAGAACGTACATACGAAACTACAACAAGATCACATGTGCGCATTTATCCGTTAATACTACCTTGTTGATTAGTTACTGGAAATATTATGGCATTATATCAATAAAGAAGTGTCAATAGTTTTCAAATTCATGCGAACAACACTCAAGACAATTAATTACCTCGAATCCGCTTAGATACTCGCTATGTTCAAGTGCGTATGCCTAACAGTTCGCCAAAAACATCGATTCATAATGTAGACAAAGGAGTGAAAAACCTGAGATAATAGTGAAGCATACTAGTGTTACAAGATGTTTTTTTATGATGTTCACTTTTCTACTTTTATTATTATTGATTTTTCTCATCATCTGTGATGTTCTCTCATTAGTCTTCTCCTCTCTGTTATTGTTGTTATTATTAGAGACTTTTTTCTTCTGAACTATTTCTCATGTTTTATCATTATATAAATATTTTTAGTTGTGAATTAAGATTGTTTTATTCTCTTTCAAAATAAAATATTGCAACAATTAAATTAGTGAAATTTATTCCAATATCATGAAGACCAGTTACGATAAATCATCGTTTACATGAACTCTCGTTTTGTGTAGCAGACAATGCCTTGAAATTTTATATAATTTAGCCTAAATGATATACAACGATAGAAGACCTTGATATTCTTTCCTCACATCGAAAGACTCATATAGATATTTAAAAAACTGAAGTATAATTACAACTTTCATATACAACAAAATAGCTGATCCTCATTTTATACTCACCAATCTGATCACCAAACTACATCAAAAGATATTCGACAATTATTATGCCAATAATATACGTTCAGTACTAAAGCAATCAAAAGAAACTGACAAAAGTAATAGTGAATGATTAATGAAAGCATTTGAATTATTTATCAATATAGTAATCGATTATATGAGATTTTATTTCGATAATAATAGTGAGTTATTTGAAAATTTACTTATGACATACCAAAAGTAGCGGTAGTTGTATCTCAATTTCGTATAGACGGCTTGAGGAAATTTGCTTTTTATATAGACAGATGGTAGAAACAAAGGTCTATATTTCTACACTATTTGATCATTATTAATCTAATATCATAATAGTAAAATTTCCATTAGACTTGTTTAGCTATGATATGTAACGGTAACATTAGTTCATATTGTCTTCGACATGTATTCTGGTCTTGATCTTCTCTTTGTTTTTGAGGGTGAGGATGAGAATGATGGCTCCATGAACTCTTTGAATAAATAAGAGTATAAAAACATTCGATAAATGAAGTCAATGAATGCATATGGTGTGTAGATAACTAAGGCGACTATTTCGAATATTTGATGAAATAAAAACTTGTTGAACTTGTTTCTGTTGTTCCCTTTTTTGTTCTATCGCCACTACTTTTTTGTATATTCTTATATATATATTAGACGGTTAAGCATTCACAGAGAGAAGAATAAAGAATAAAGAAAAGAGAGAAGAAGAACAAAGAGAAGATGAAGACCACAATACACATCGAAGACAATATGAACTAATGTTATCATTACATATCATAGCTAAACAAGTCTAATGAAAATTTTACTATTATGATATTAGATGAATAATGATCAAATAGTGTAGAAATGCAGAGTCTTGTTTTTACCATCAGTCTATATAAAAAGAAAATTGCCTCAAGCCATTTATGTGAAATTGAGATAGGTTCGTCACAACTTTTTGTGCGCCCTAAATATATTATAAACAAGGTATTTTATTATTTATTTATGGAAAAAACTCTTGAATAATAGCTGGCTAAAAAAAATGTTAGTAACGTTGTCAGAAATCCACGAAAAAAAACTAGTGACGAAAAATGGTCATATGATATGAAGACTAGACACCATTCTTCCTCAAGTTACAGCACGCAAGAACCATATATCGATACTTTATGTGTATGACTTTGTATAGAAACTTCTGTCTCAGTTGACTTTTAATTTTTAATTCTTCCAGTGCTAGTAGTTGCCGATACTCATGTGTTCAGTTCAGTTCAGTTGTCGTTGTTTCTAATAATGATGATGATAATAATGCCACTTCAATCACGCCGTCATTGGATGAATTTCTTGCTGATAGTTCTGATTCAGCTTTTTTCAAAGTACGAGTATCTAGCATATTGTTCCTACAAACAATCACACTCATGCTATTTCTTAATAAATTGCTTTTTCTCTCTTGAGTTTTTCTCATTGCCACACTTGGTACAATAATGTTTCCTTTATCGCCATTGATATATTCAATTTGTTTCTGAAGGATTGTACAAGCCATGAATAGATCACAATCGCTCACAAAATCCTCATCTGTAAAAAAGATATGCAAAATGAACTATTGTAATTTTTTTCATACAAATAACGAAAAAATTTCTCAATTTACGTTTTAATTGAAGCTGATCTTCCCAACATCTTTTGATGATTGAGAGTTTGAAATTACGATTAAGTAGACTTTGGGAAATTGACAGATCAAGTCGAGCAGCTACAAGTCTCGATAAAGTGCTTTCATCCAGTATCAAAAGATGTCCATTGCTTGAGCTACCACCACTCGTTCCGGATTGATTGTTTGCATCATTAGCTTTCATCCTTTCTAGACAAAGAACAACAGATACATCATTTACACTTGTTTCAATAAGTAAACAAAAAACCTTGTTGAATTTGTTTTGATTCTTGAATCTTTCGATACAATTCACTGCCACACAATTGTTTAGCATATGCACAATGTGGAAACCAACGAACATGTTCTATCATTGGATTATCATTAGAACTCCAGTTTTGTAAAGAACCATTGCAATAAAAACAAGTCACAATAGTTTTAGTACCAGTATAAAAGAATCCAGCTTTGACTAGATCATCAATAGATGGTAAATTTTCATTTGGCCAAGTGACAAAAGATGCATGCCGTTTTGGTATTTCAATATATCCTGTATTACAAGCTGTAGTATAAACAATTGCATTACATCGAAATGGATCGATACTAGTTGAGGCTAATGATTGATCAGTGTGACAATGTTCATTGATGACTGAAATGGATGATGTTTGAGAACGAGTCAACATAGCAATAACATAAGGACATTTGGGTGAGAGTATTTTATGTATTTCACATGGATTGTCACTATTTGGTATCCATTGTTGACAAATAATATTGCAATAAATACATATGACACGATCAGCAACATTACAACTAAAAAATCCAGCTTCTATCATTTGTGATCTGGAAAGTGATGATCGATGTGGCCAATGTGAAAATGTACGTTTTCTCACTTGTTTAATGTTGTCTACTTCGACAAATATGTTCAAATGTTTATTGACAATATTTGTATTTACTTCTGACATTTGAAGTGGTTGCTTTGCATCGTTTAATACTGACATAATTTGATTGAAGTTGACCATTGAACTTGTAGCTATGTTCTGAGACGGTAACATCGATAGAACAAATGGGCAAGTTGGACTTCGGTTTACATGAATAGCAAATGGTTTCATGTCGGTTGTCCATCCTGATACTTCAAGGCCACAAGCGTGGCAACGAGCAGCATCCCCATTATTTGTATATTGGAATCCGGCTGAGGTCAAAGTAATACAAGAATAAACTCCTGGCTTTCTGATCAATGCTCGACAGACTATCGATACTTTTTGGAACATATCACCACAGTCTATCACGGGGTATTTTTCAGAGTGATTGTTTTTCATTTCTAGATGCTGTTTGTCGATGTATGGTGTAGTCTTTGTTGAAAAATTCATCTTGACTATTTTATAAATATATAAGATAAAAGTGGTCAATATTTATACTTATATAAATGTCTATGATTCATAAAAATTTCTCTGCATAGACTGTAATTCGAATTGGTTACGTTCTATAACATATATTGTCAAAATGACGCCATTATGTTTCATTGGAAAATTCCCATCATGAAATTTGAAGCATGACTATTCCTAGTTAAAAGATGATGTAACGATCCTTTATGTCAATAGCCTGATCCTTATTTCTTCACAACAGAATATTGTGATCTTGTGGAGTTTTGCTTTCCTCAAAGACTATAGTTTAAGGGTAAAAAATTGCTAAAATTAAACTTTTTATTTCAACTATTTTTCTGATAACAGTAAGCAGTATTCGAAATATCTCATAATTCTGATACATATACATGTCTCAAGCCAAATTAAATTTTGGTTGGATTCGTTTTTAATTAGACAGAAAGCTACAAAATAATTTTCTTTTATTTAAAAATAAATTCTAATTTTTGTTTACATTGAGAAAACAATAGCATTACCTGTTTTTTTTTTACTAAATAGCATATTCCGATTTACTTATTCGTATTGTAGTGCACACACCAACGACTTCTTTTAGAAATCTTGCTGTAGAATGCATTAGATAGCAAACTTCATTGGCTGCTAAAATCACTGTCTGGATTTGAGCTAATTCCTTAATATTATAGAAAAATACGTTGTTGTTAAACTTTTTCTCCACTATCTTATGACCCACGTTAAATTCGAAGGCAAACATCGATAAAAAGAATATCACTCAAAAAGCATAAGCTTAAGGATCCCGTCTTTTTTTTTGGTCGAAGCTTGCTGAGACAAGCTAAATTTCAATTGAGAGCACTTGCTCACTCTACAACTTCCTAGATTTAACTAGACTTCAATTAAAATCGAACATAACTGAATATAAATATATACGATAAGTTTTTTTATTCTCATTTTTTTAATTTTTTTAATTTTTAAACCTTTTCAAAATTCTGTTCAATTTTGTCTAAACCTCAATATATATACATAATAGACTTTTGCAAAGATCTACAGCATGATCTATTCATTAAGAGAAAAGTATGCATTTTGTAATATTACTTTTATCTAATGAATTTTTTCAGAGTTTTTTTAAACTTCTGTTTACACTTTAAAGAATGTTCTAGTCCTAAAACACAATTTAAGCGAAGAATTAATGATCTACTCGACTGCTTGATTCTCTAAACTTAGGTCGTTTTTTGTATGACCTATACAACTTCAATGGAACGTATTATTCTGTTGCTCAAGCAAAACAGTTGATATGATCTTTTGACTCATATTTATGATGATCTTGCAATAATAGCCAACCAATTATCCTTTATCATAATCGAAACGATGTCGACAACTCACCGTGTTAACGATATAATATTGATGATATTGTCTCCAAAGTTACAGACCAGAATAGCAATGTAATTATATTTGGTTATTATCAAGGACACTAACTTTTCTTCAAGAAAAATATCGACGTAAATTTTCGATGAGCTATTAGATAGTCATGCTTTAGTAGAGAACCTTGGTGGACGGTTTTTCATTTGCGTTATGGTACCTTTCTTCTTATCATTTTTTGCCTATATAATATCATGCATCGATGTAAAAAAACCAAGTGAATTACAATGACGAGGTAAGACACGAAACTATAGCAACGACAAACAATAGAAAGAGAAAAGAGATGCAGAAAAAAAATAAAAAAGGTATAAGAATTTAAGAATCGTAGAAGACTGTGTCACGTGAGACTATGAACATGCTTTCGTACTAAGTATTCAGTACTTTTTTGTCATTTCAAACATTCAACATTAATGGTTAACATTTTTTTTCGGTATATATTCTTAAAATTTTCTCATAAATAGTCGTATACATCGATAATTTTATTCAACAACATATGAGCTTCTTTCGTTAAATTTAATAAAAAATCTGCTTGCATGAAGATTTCGCAAATGGCCGTTTAAAATTTTCTCATCTTCAGAGAAATAAATACTTATTTTTGAAAAGCAATGGAATTGACTGAAATCCATATCATTTGATATTTATCACTTATATAAACTGAAAGAAATTGTAGTTTTTGATATAGACACTTCTGCTTTTAATGAAAAGAGGATAAAATTCAATTTTCCAATCATGTAAAACGTGTACATACAATATGAAATAATAAACCTAAGAAAAATATTAAAGTGTTCTTATTCTAATATGAATATCTATATCCACTAAGCCTACAATTTCACAACATAAAGGTTAAAGAACACTTGTTTTAAAGTTTGAAACATGAACAATGTCTGTTACATTTTCTGTGTGCATGTCTAATCAGGTTATAGGTCAGTTTTATACAGAAGAGAAATGTCATTTATGATACTAGTACAAAGTGACGATAGAAAATTTCAAAATGTTCATTCATGATATCTATTAGAAAACAAATGACTCACTACTTCATGCCATGAGTTGTAATGAGCATACTTACTTTTATTTCTGTAGACACTTGTGGTAGGAAGATTAGACAAGAATAATCAATAAATCAAATCAAAACAATCATGAATTTATAAATATTCATCTAAATTATTCAATAATTCTAGGTAATTTTCTTTACCATAATTTTCTATGTTCCAGGTATTTTTTATGACAAAATATTTACATAAAAAACAACGTAACATGAAGGAAGAGTATATGCATATAGGAAGAAAATATAACATATGATTAATCTATTATAGAAGAAAACAACATGAATCACATCATTTCTTGAGTTAGACGTCATTAAGTGACAACAATTTTCATATTTTTATACAACATTATATTGTTATTCATTTTGAATCAATTCAGTTTCCACTTTCATCGATTTTCGATTCGATTTATAAATATTATTCTGAAATTTTGAATCAACAGATTTGATGAATCTGAGAATCAGAAATGAAAAATAAATGTACATTTGTGTTTTGTCAAATTTGGATAACATATATATATATTTAAGTAGATTGTATTTTGACTGATTTATTATTAAAAAAAACAATCTTCAATTGTATTGATTAAAACAAGAAACATATAAATCATTTTTTCCTTATAATGCATATCTTTGACGTAATCAAAAGAACCCAAATATTAATTTTCAAGAGTAAATATTCGATTGAAATATGAAGGTTAACAAACATGATTATTATCATTCTTACTCATATTTATCTTATCTTAAAATATTCGTTTCAATCTTATTTTATTCCTGTTCAGACTTCACTAATATATGTAGAACTCATTTAATCGAATGATGAATAGATTAAAGCTTTTTCTCCTCTTGATGACTTCATCTTTTTAACTGTAGTTCTTATCTGAATGTTACATCATAAATGTCCACATTTGTTTTTGTTGTTAGTAGTGAATATAGAATCATAAAAATTGAGGCAAGATGGAGGATTAATTTATTTCAAATAGATTTGTCGTATAATTTCGTTAAAATATTTAAACAAACTCTATGTATATTTATTTTTTTTTTTTTGCAACTACGTGGTTTAATTTTCGTTCTTACTCTTTTGAAATAGTGCATTGCATGTTATTTATCATATGCTAATAAAGTTCGTTATCTCATCGTCAACATTTGTCACATTAGAGATAAAATTAAAATTTTCGAACATTCAGGAAGATGAATTGAGATAAAATATTAAACAAAAAAATTAATAAGAAAAAATAGTACTTATGAATAGTACTCGATATAGTTGGTAGAATTTGGTCTAAATAGGAAGTTTAATTTATGAATAAACGAAAAAGCAAATATTTTTACTCAAGAGAAGAATGTTGGAAGAAAAAAGAAATGTATGAAGGGCATCTGTTCTCTAAATAAATATTTTTACGCCTTTATTTGTTGGAAAATTCCAACATTTGCCATTATTTGACAAACTTGTTAATGGAGAATGCGTATGCCTGAATTGATTGTTAGTAACTGCTTGAGAGAAGTTTTTTTTTATGTATCGAGTCTCTCGGGCTAATTAACAGTATTTTTAATCGAAATAAATGATAAAATCTCTCATAGGAATATTTTTATTACTTTTAGATTCTTTATTGAAAGTTTGTTCTTTGTAGGAATTGCTGGACGTTCTTATAAAAAAAAATAGAGAGAAATGTTATTGAATCACTTTTCTTTTTTTATATTCGTCATGACATACTAAGACGAGCTGAATAATTATTGGCTGTATAAGAAAGGCGTGTGGGTATTAACCCACTTAATATTTTTGCTAATGTCTATTCAAGAAGCAAAAAAATGACCTTCGAACGACTCACACGACGAATTTTGATGAATAAAAAAAAAAACAAATATTTCTTTGCTCCTAACGAAATTTTAATGAAATCTCGTATGATAATTTCTGCTAATGTTCAATGAAGTGTTAATGAATCTACACTATTTGGTACGCATGAATAATTGTGCAGTGTATAAATTTGAATAACATCATCAAACGTTTATACAAAACTTAACAACGCATTACACCTTGGAAAAAATCATTCGATAAGCAATGCAAATAACGACATTCGTAACGATCGTTTTCGTATTAAAGAAAAGGTAGTACATAACATATATTTCCTTGGTTTTCTTCCCACAAAAACATTTGCGTCAATGTTAAAACAAAAGAAAAATAAAGAATCATGCAAATACGATGTAAATTTGAGTAAAATATCAAACTTCAATATAATAAAAACAAATTACAATTGCCATTGATTCATAGTCATGACTTCAAAAG